TTTGAAATTCTGAAAAGCAAGAATTACCCTTAGATTGGGCACTGTGCTTGCATAGAGTAGGTTCAAGGAAGGTTTGTTGAATATAAACAAAATAAAATTATGCTTTGGTTCAATTCATGCTGATTCTCTTACATATACTGAAAAACTTTTCTGACTCCATAGTGAGCAGTAGAAACAAGTTGGAACATATATATGCTATTTTATATATTTTTTAGATAGTTTCATTTTGTCTTCCTTTTCAGGAAGTTTATAAGCAGGGGAATTTTGAGGTTAGACTATATATTTTTTTAGAAAAAAAAATGTTTAAATCTGATGATCTAAAGGGAAAAAAAGAACAAAAATGGAAGGGGAAAGTAGTTAAAAATTATATAAGTGAGTTGTCTGCAATTAATCTTACTTGAATGAATAATTACATTAAAAAAAATCTCACGTTGGCATAAGAAGATGTTAACATGTTGAGATGTGTGCGCAGATATAGGGGTACATGTAGAGAGAATAAGGTGAGGATCCAGTAGGAAATGACACCCAATTTCCAGCTAAAGTAGATCTTTGCTTGATGGATAATCAGGCTGGAGAGCTGAACACACAAGAACGTTGATTCATAGAGGAGAGGAGTTTTGACTTCTCTGATGTATTTCTTCATACATTATTGAAAAAGGTCAAAGGTGTGGATATTTACATCTACTGTATCAGTTTTTGAATTCTCAAGAGACAAGTATGAAGTTTCCTATCTGCATACTACTATTCTCTACTTAAGCTATTGCTGGAGGAGAATATTGGCACGTGTAGCAAACAGATGTCACTGCCATGCTCCAATATAAGATCATCTGACTACAGTAGAAAACTGGAACCACTGAAACCAACATACTTATAGTAAGCCTTGGAAGGAACAAAAATATTAAAGAAGCCATAATTCTACCACATCAAACTACTGTTTTAAAATAAAGAGATCTCCTTATTTTGAATAAAGAGATTGTTCGGTAATGATAAAGAGAGTCAACAATATGCTTGGACTTCTCACCATCCTTGTAATTCAGACCAGTCAATTTGTACATTGCCGACATTTTAAAAATCCATAACCTTTCTCATTTTTCACTTTTCTTCCATAACTTTATTTCATTTGGCTAAGTATATGACATGATTTGCTTCATGTTTGCCAGTGATTGTGTCTGTTTATGTGTATTTTAGATCCAGATGTTGGACATGAACTCTGCGGTCCTCTCTTGGGCTTGTACTGATATTACTCTAGTGAATAATTTATCAAATAGAATCTTAGTGAAAAAACTGTTCTAGATTTCCTCAGAGCTTTTAAAGTTATCCTTTCAGGAAATGTATAAATTACTTCTATATAGTAAGTATATTTCAAGATAGAATATAAATTACCTCCACATTAGTAATTTGTGAGTTGCTTGAGAACCGAAAGCAGATGATTCTCATCTTGCTGAGCATGCATTTGAATGAATTAATTAGAGTTACTTCTGTGTTAATTGGAACAGTTGCTGTAACTAAGTCACCACTAGGGCAAAAGCCAAATATAACTGACCCTTAAATATGACATGATTTGCTTCATGTTGCACATTTGAAAACCCGCATATAATTTTTGATTCCCTAAAAATGTAACTACTTAATAACCTACTGACTGGAAGCCTGAGTGATAAAATAGTCGATTAACACATATACCATGTTATATGTATTATATACTGTACTCTTACAATAAAATAAGCTAGAGAAAAGAAAATGTTATTAAAATTATAAGGAAGAGAAAATACATTAAGAATATTTGTTGAAAAAGTCCCTGTATAAATGCACCCACGCAGTTCAAACCCATGTTGTTCAAGGGTCAGCTGCAGTGGTTTTGCGTTCTTAAAAAAATTACGGATCTTTTGCTTTCAGGATTTGTGTCCATTCTAATTTTAGTGTTTGTATATGTTGTTCAACATATTCTGAATAAAATCATTATTTAGGCATCAAATTTAATCCTTTTATTTCCAAGAATATACTGTTATTTGTCCTAAAACACTTATTCAATAAAGGACTTTTTCAACAAAAATTGTTAATGTATTTTCTCTTCCTTATAATTTTAATAACATATTCTTTTCTCCAGCTTACTTTATTATAAGAGTACAGTATATAATACATACAACATGATATTATGTGAGAATTAGGATATTAGAGCAATGATAAAGATTAAAATTTATGGGAAACTGGAAATTATCAAATTAATACAATATTGCCATATTCTTTTAACCTTCACTTTTTTATGATTGAGATTTAAAATATTTCCTACTTTAAGTTCATAGATGAAGAGCAATATACATTTTGCTGAGAACATCTGTATCATAATGCTCTCAGAGGAAGTTTTCTTGTCTGAAAAAATTACTTAGCTTAAGGAAAACTGCTATGAAAATAAATAAAAGATAATAATACTAAAGTTCAATTTTCTCATCTATAAAACTGGAATAATATTTATCACTTCCAAAATTTAAATGAAAAGACTCTTCTACTAAGGAACACTGCCTTCTTTTCACTTTCTCTTTCTGTTGAATGCTAATATATATATTATATATTAATATAATATATTAAATAATTTTTACATATTATACTTATGAGTTTAATCTGTTTCACTATAGACTCAATAAATGCCAGCCATATAGCAGTATAATTTCTCATTATTCACAAGAGAATATGAGGTCTCAGAATAGAAGGGTAAATGGATCTTTGTCTTAACTTTCTCCTATAGTATCTGTCACAAAGATGGAAAACTGTTTCTTATTCTAAACAGTACCCTAAAGGTTCTGCATCTTGTTTGACATAATGGAAAGTAATTCAGAGTGCCCTTTGGGGGAGCCCTCTGCAACCGGAAATATGTCAGTGAGCCTGAAAGTTCCTGTTGGGTTACCTGTGGGAAATGGCAACATATCAGTTCCACGTCTCCATTTTCCTAAGAGATAGGAGGCACGAAAATTGGTCTCCTGTCGGTCATCACAGAGACCTTTCCTAATCCTTTCAGAAAGCTTAGTTATCTCTTTTTCTCCCACTTAATCTTTCTGTCCTCACTCATTGTAATCTAATCAGGAAAATTAAGGAGATGTGTAGGATTTCAATTATAATTGTATTAAAAATTTTTGATAGTAACTTGTGTAAAACAAAATTTTAATTATTATATTTTTCATAAGTGTAAGCATTAAGGTGTTCCTTCTATTTATTTATTTTATGTGTTGGGATTTTGTTGTTGTTGTTGTTTGTTTGCCTGAAAAATAAAAACTATCTTGGTTTTGTTTGAATTGGTATCTTTTGAAAATATGAATTTTCTTGTTCTAGGGAATTGAAAGACACAAAGAGTATGATTTTTAATGGAGTTTAAACATATAGATTTTATTCTGATTAATCTTTATGCAGAACAAACTTGCTTACAATAAACCTTATCACAAAGCCATCAAACACTAAAATAAAGGTAGCCTAGCAATCAAGAGTCATTCAAGCCATTTTTAAAATATTGGTTTTAAAACAGTTTGCAATTTTTATAATTTCAAATTTATGGTTTTAGGAGCTTTATATAATTGATATATCTTATGAAAAACTTTCAAAAGCCATAGAAGTACAATTATCTGTGTGACTGTTAAAATTGATATAAAATTTTAGTGAATATAGAATTTTATCAGCTTTATAATTCTTGTAAGTAAATTTCTTTTTAAGTAAATATATACAGAAAATACCATAATAATTAAACATCTGATTTACAAATAATATTGTCATTTGAAAGATGATGGTAGAATAGTAGATTCTATCTTGTTTCTATGAATAATAGTTTGAATATTTCTTTTTTTGAAAGTAGCATAGGAAGTCTTGTGAACCCACTGAAATTTGCTTTGGTGTCTTTTCCCACAGAAAATAAAAGTATATTGATTTAATTCCATTTTAATCACTCAGTAATTTTATTGCAAGGAGGCAGGATAATGAGAGAAAACAATGTTGCAATCTGACACAGTTCCTCAACTATTAATCAAAATTCAGAACTAATGTTACTTGACAATTTACTAGTTGAGACTAACAATGCTTCTACCATATTCATATTTCCATAATACCACACCAAATCCAAATCACTAGAGCCAGATAAATTGGGCCTTTATCCATGAAATGCTAAATTATTTGACTACACTTAAAACAACTGATTAACAGAAGAGGATGAGAAAAATACAATACAATATAAAACAAACATCTGTATTCAAACTTTAAAAGTTTCAACGAACAATATGTCTCCCAAATTTCCAGAACTACGTTGTGCCAAAGACCTCGGTGAGTCTTTGTCTACAACAAATTCAGTTTCCCCAAAGGGGAAAATTACCATTAATCTTTAATTTACCTTCTTGTGTATTTTTTAATAGAACACTTCAAACTTTCCTTTATGGAGAAAATTTCCATATTAATTTATATTCTCAATGCCTTAGGAATGGAAGAAGTGTGAACTAAGGATCAAAATGTTAGTTATGAAAGTGGTTTATGTAATCCAGATTTAGTTTACTGAACCATGAATTAAAGTTACTGGCTTACATTATATATGGTATTAAACACATTTTTCACCTCTTTAATTTTAAGCTAGTATTATATAATTCTAGAATTATTACCACTTATATATAAGTATTGTATTCGCATAAAGCACAAGAAACTTTAAATGAGCCTTGTGAAATTGTGTTTGACAAAGGAAAAAGATTGAATATTTGCAATTCTTATATATGGTACAACTGAATACAAAAATAAATTCTTTTAGTATATATGGCCTTCTAGTTTACAAAGAAACTTTTATTGAGGCATTTTCTCATTTGTTTTTCAAGTTCTTAGTTTGTTAATCCTCTCATGAAAAATCTGCTCAATCACCACAGATAAAGTCACTGACAAATCTTTACTCCTTCTGTTGTCCAATCTCCAACCCACTTTTTGTCAGCACCAACACTGGACTTTGCAGTCCCCCTAATTTTCTTCATTTTGTCCTTGTGTTCCTCTCACAGTTTTCTTGATGTCTTTTTCTTCTTATACAAGCTATGACTTGCAAATCTATGTTTGGGTTTATTTTTCTTTGCATTATCCAAGGAATCATAAATCATGCCAAAGCCAGTTGTTTTGCCATCACCAAAATGGGTTTGGAATTCAAATACAAAGATGACATCTGGTAGGCTCTTGTACATTTTGGCTGGGTTTTCCCAAATTTCTATCTTAGGTACTGTTTTCTTTCCAGGATGAAGTACATCAATGACCGTTTGTTTCCGTTGAAGCATTTTATTGGTCATGAACTTCCTGGTCCAGATAGTTACTATGTCATTTATGATAGTGGCTGACCCTCAAGCAGCCAGGGAGGAAAAGCAAGGCATTTTTCTCATTTATTAAAGACAATATTTATATGTAAAAGTTTTGAACCAGTGCAGAATTCTCTCCATACATCAAGGATTTAATTTATACAAAAAAAAGCCTATTTGTTGGAAACAATTATTAGCTCCTTTTTACAGATGAGAAGCATGACACTTAGATCTTACATATTGTGTCCAAGATCATATAGCAAAGAGGTGAGAACAGGAATCTAAATACATTCAGTTGTACTACAAGATGTATTCTCAACCACCACAATAAAGACAAGGCGAATGGTAGTATAGTCAGTTTTTCTATATGTTTGTTTTCAAAATTAGACTTTGTTTCAATGCAATCAATATGTTAGGGAATAATTTGGATATAATAGAAATTTCAATTTGTTTATATATGATTTCAACTGAGAAACAGTAGGTAAATTCAGAACACTGCACAAAGCTAAACCAGGCCACACAGGGATACATAAACTGCACACATGAATACACCTCAAACATCTATCATCTACCTCTGATGTTAAAATTTTCCTTCCAATTTCAGATAGCCATCCTTCATTTACCACTTCACAATAACTAACAAACTGCAACCCTTCCAATGATAATGACCACAAGCAAATTCCAGATATCTTTCAAGGTAAAGTGCCATATTTTTATAACATATGTATATTTATTAATTACTTAATAAATATAAAATTGCACTATAATTTTTATGATTTTACATTCCTACCTTTTTGTCCTGTCTTATTGATGAAATTTTTAAGTATCTGTCATGGATTCCATTTTCCCCATAAAGCCTGTGACTTTTATTGGCTAGTATTGTATAGTGCAGTGATTTTTAGGAACACGTATGTTCTGTCATAAAGGAAATGAAAGAATTCCATTTCGTAATCAGGGGAATGAAAAGGTACTTCCTCAGTTTCACTTACCTGTTAAGCATGGAGCAAGGCTTTAAAATTTATTTTAACTGAAGAAATATTTCTAAAACTTCTGGTTGATATTTATATCTGAGGACTAATATAGCTAAATTGGCATATACAAATTAGAATTGCTATTTTTGTTACATTTATAACATCTTCTAATATCTTCTTACATTACCCACAAGTTAGAATTTATATAATGTTTAATTCTAGAAACATAATGTATTTTTACTTAAAGAACAAGGACTGTTATATAATTTAAAATTATTTTACTAGATTTTTGAGAGTAACTTAAAATTCTAATTTGAATTAAATTGTCAATATATTTTCTTTGTTTTAGTATACATGATCACTGGTTTTAGAAATCAGGTATGATACAATTGTCTGGTACCTTGAAAAGTTGGCTTGTATAATAAAGAATCCACTTCCATCTTTAGATGTTTAACTTGATGGCTTTCAATTCCCTACCTTTGCCTCCAATCCTCTAGCTCCACTTCTGGGCAAGCCAATGAGGAAGACCAGGAGCTTTTCCTTCTTTGATAATAGTGGGAAGTTCAGACTAAAAAGGTGCCAGTTCACACATGGAAACCCTTGCCCCAGTACAAAGGCCTAACCACAAAAAAAGCCAAAGCTTATCTTCTCCTGGCTCTCGTAAACCATTTTTTGACCTGACATAGAATCTATTCGTCTTTCCAGAAAGTTTAATAATGTGCATAATAAATCTTTTTATACTCTGTTGGAGTATTTGTGGCATCACTCGCTTCAACATTATAACCAATTTGGTGTGCACTCACACACCTCTGTAGAGGGACAACAATAGCATAAAACCATTCTAAGATTATTCAATATTTTGCTTCCATAAAACCGAAGCTTAAATTAGGACACTAACAAAATACATTTTTTATTCGTTTTATGTCTGTCAGATAAAGATACCTATAAAGAAAAAAAACCCTGTCCTTTACAACCACTGCTAATTTATAGGTATGTTTAATTTACTAGAACTAGGGGAGATATCAATGCATGAATGTATAAGTTGACTAGCAAGAGAAGAGCTTCAGTTAGATGAACAGGAAAATATAGTGTATATGCATGTGCCGTTTATTTCTAGATTTATGCAAAAATGCTAATTTACAGAGGACATCTGCATTTCAAAAAGAGTAGAAGGAAAGAAGTAAAATAAAGTAAGTCTTTGGGACCTTGGGATGGGCTTATCAAAAATAGACTATCAATTTAGAAACACGGAGAAGTGTACATCGGAAGGATAACTTGCGACTGAGACAGGAGAATTGTGCAGTCATGGTCATTAAAAAGTCCACTGAGGCTTTGGCCAAGAACTTACCATTGACTTAAACCAAGAAACAGAAATTTGTAACCACAGAAGAATAAGAGAAACATTATTATTTCTCTACAGATCAAAATAGCTCCAAAGTTATCTATGGACTGCAAAGTTATGCTGAAGTTAAGTCTAATATATACTATGTTATGTATAATATATAATATATACTATATTTTACATATGTTATATACTATGTTTTCATATATATATGAGAGTGGAACAAGAAAGCAAAAATGTGAAGAAAATATAAGAAAACTTCCATAAATCAATAGACACTCAGCTGCTCTGAGATAACTGATCAATGCAAGTCTGTGCACCTAACCTGTATTCAATTTATTCAGTCAATGTTCATACCAATACAGTATAAATGATGATCCTCTTGAAATGATAAAATATGTGGTAAGCTGAGGTAGACATTTTGTTTGTTTGTTTGTTTATTTGTTTTTGTTTTTCATTCTTAGGGCTGAGCAAAAGAAGAGAATGGAGAAAGCTGGCAGAAACATGCCTTAAGTCATAGCATGACAACTTTTCTGATAGTACTATAGTGAAAATAAGCTCTAAATGTCAGCTGCTAGATTCAAGTTAAAAGATTAAAATTAAATTATTATGAATATTCAAAGCTGGAGAAATATATTTTACTAAGACTAGTTATCTCCTGGTTTCAAAAATATATTCTCATAGATGGCTTTTTAGAAATACACTTCAGTACTAGATTTGTTTATCATACATTAAAACTGAATACCACTGAATTGAATAAAGTCTAGTTCAACATACTTATGGCTAAATCTATGGCATATACACAAAGCTATTAATCATTGTCATTACATGGCAGGCATGTTGCCGTCATTGATAAGCCCACTTTGAACATGGGAAAGTAAAGACAAAAACACTTACGTATTTTAGAAATTCTCTTCAGAACCAAACACTCGAACAGAGCGTTAGAATGATCTTCACTTCTGGTGCCAGCACTTTGTTGAATTTGTTCCTGTAAGAGAAGGGTGACTTGATAGCTGTCAGAATATCTGAGGGTTAAGTGT